ATACATACATACATACATACATATGTACATGCATAAATTTGTATTACAATATGTGCTAATATAAATCTCACCACATTCATAATTTTGTACATACACACATACCTACAACATATGCACAACTACGAATAAATGTATAATTATGTCTCTCTTGTTTATTTATAGCGCCGATAAGGATAAGCTTCGGGAAATTGCAAAACAAAATATAATAATAATATTTCTATGTGCATGATTGTAAGTAGTATATAAATAAATTTCTAGAAAATGGGTTACGTACGACAACAACAACAACAACAACTTAACACAAATTAATTGCGCGCACTACAAACGAAAAAACGTCGCAGCGACGGCGGCAGAACTGCCTCTCTGTCTCTGCCGCTGCCGGTAGTCGTTGGCCTCTGTCGGCGTCCCGTCGACTGCGCTGCGACGCCAGCTATAAATGTGTGCGTATATATAAAATACTGATGTGTTGATGTTGCTGTTGTAGTTGTTGTAGTGTGCGGATTTGCTGCTTATCGCTGGACACACATATTTGCACTGTCTTTTATGGCAGCGTTGAGTAATTGGCAAGTGGCAAACGCGGTATGCAGAGGGAAGGGGCTGGAATGGAATTGGAATTGGGTCTGGGCCTAGCAATCTTACAGCTGTTTTGGTAGATGGTTCTGTTAAGGTTGACCAACTAAATAAATGCATACCTATATACATACATAGACATACATACATGCATACATATATTACTTATGTACATGCATAGGCATAGGCAACAACAAAGCGTAATAGCTTTCAAACTGGTTTTAATTGCTCTTGTTGTTGTTGCTATTTTTATTTTAAATTCGCATCATGCAGAGAGACGCTGAGTGGAATAAAAGCGATGCTCTGCTGATAAAACTGTTTTATGCACAAGCCGCAAAAATTAGCAACAAACAGTTATGCTTAAAGTTGCCAGACTGCTTGCACATTAATATACATACATATATGTATGTTGTATGTACATAAGCACACATATGTAGCTACATTAGTATAATTAGTATTATGCAAAAAATACGCCTTAGATCAGTTGCTTTATTTTTATGATGGCCGAATTTCACAATTTTGCAATAACAATTTGCATATTTGTTTGATATAAAT